TTGGAGAAAAATGACGAGTAGCTGAAAAAATGGAACCAATTGATGCGATATATTGCATGCCGTTCTGACACAAAATATGGCGTCCATCGAATCACCTTAACCCCTACTTTTAACACATAGAGTACATCGAGTCGTAATGTAAATGGGAGAGCTGGCGGCATGTTCTGCTCGACGAGTTCCGAGCCCGGTGTGCGCAGAGTTCGGGTCACTTTTTCGATACATGTTCGATCCAAAATGGCGGCGTGGAATACGTGGTGATTCCTATCTTCCTTGTTTACATCGGATGACCGGGTACCCGTGTATCGCGAACAATCGATCATGTATTGAAAAAGTGACCCGGCGTCACACATCAGGAATCTTGGAATTCGGGCCCTGAAAAATGCTTAGTAGAGGCGCCAGCTCACCCACTTACATTACGACTCTATGTACTCTATGTTTTAACACTAAGCAAGTGGAAGTTCGATCACACGAATTACGTCTTTTGTAATTTGCAATTTAGTCAGTATTAATTGTAAACACTGATATCATGTTTAGGGCTTAATTTTCAGACTTCCTGTTTTGTGATTCGTTTTCTCCGTGAAATTATGAAGAGAAAACATGTTGCATAGTGATTTATTTATTCATACCCTGTCTAGCTTTAGAGGCCCGCTCACTGTCAAAATGAAATTTGTTTAATTATACAAGATTGCTAAAATTTTACAGCTTCTATGTGACGATGAACTTAAGAGGACTTAAGGCGAGGCAGTGAAATAATAACTCGATAAAAATCTTATCGAATAGAGTCTGGCAACATGGATTTATAAATCGTCGATCAGCGACCGCACTACGATCTTAAAGAGCAGGTGCTTTTTTTGGATTAATTTGGTACCCTGCACGCGGTTGACGGCTCGGGCAAAGATTTTTTGCCAACTTGGGATCATCTCATAATTAATGTAGAGGGATGGCAACTATGAATCTGATTTGGAGCTCATCAAATCTTCTGACAGATGGTGGATGCAAGGCTAATAACTCTGACTTCGATTTTCAGCTCCCTTCAATGCAGTGTGTGTATTTTTCAAATTTTCTGGCTCCACACCTGACCTCTGAATTTGTATTGGCTTCGTTTCTTCAAGTGCTTCCTGTAAATAATTAATCAACCCCTGAGGGTCAAAATAATGAATTGACGTTTAATTCTGAAGAATCACAGGGCCGATTTCTTGTAGAGTTGGTTCCATCTTTCAGTTTTTGACGTCTAGATTTACAATGCGAAATGAACGCATTTTATCCCGGAAAATGTTGCGCTTGCTCGAAAAAATTCGGATGTCCTCCCCTCTCTCTGATCTCTCTTCACTTAATGACAAAATATTCGTGGTTTGAGTGTGTCGTCCTTAAGAGTCCGTCATTCCAGCTCGAAGCTGAAAAGTCAAAGACTGTCACAGTTAATAATCGTTTTCCGTCGATTTCAGGTAAAAAGTTACCCGGCTTTTTTCATGTATTTGTTAGATTGTCTCTCTACCCTGTCCCATAACCGTTCTGTGGAACCCGCAGCACCCTCTGTAAGATTTCGATGGTCAAAGTTCAAAACTACGTACCAATCCTTGCAGTGTTTCAAAATCTGTGCTCCTGTTTAATTTCTTTTCAGAGAGACAAGTCAACTATATAGCTTGAACGTTTACAGAATATTCTTCCAGGAGGGAGGCAAAATCAAGAAAGTTTTCAAGGCATTAACTTGACTAGTTCTCCAGAGAAAAATATAGTATGATAGGAGCTCTCTAACGTCGGAGATACGTGGTTTCGCACTCGGCTATTGATATTTGAACTGCATTTTGGAACTATGAAATCTAGCCCAGTTAAAAAACAACGTATGTGCCATTAGTTTCCCTATGCACGTATAAGTGTTTTTTCAGATGAGCCAGAATTTATAGTTCCAAATTGCATAATGCAGTATATTTAGTATCGCTCCCGAGTGATCAATAACATTTTTTTTTTTTTTTTGCACGTGATGCAACACCACTCAAAAGAATAATCCATCGGGCAACAATCTAAGAAACACTGCTTTGCTACTTAAACGCCGTATGAGCATTCAAATGTTGCCAAATTTCTTCTCAAAAATAGTAATTTTAGTAATAAGTTATGAATACTTTTACTTGACATTTTCAAACTTTTAAGATTCAATCCCAAACAAAATCCTCTGAAAAATCGGGAGAAAAACGTTCATTAAGTTTCCTAAACATTTATGATTTTTCGAAAGAAATCTGGCAACTCCTGGCTCATACGGTGTTCTTCCTTAGCACGGCGGAACTTCTATCATGATTTTCAGAGCTGAAAAGTGTAAATACAGACTCAATAAAAAAAACCGGGTGTGTAGGAGACAAGGAGAACGGAAAATGATTCTTGGAGAGGGTGGGGAAATCAAATTAAGAGGAACACGGTGTAAAAAAGAGACGAGTCGATTTATCATCCGGCCAAAAAGATTCCCGGCTTGATTCATCTTGTTGCATCGGCCTCGAGGTTGGCGGCAATCGGGAGGGGTGCACAGATCACCGGATTTCCTCGGCGACACCCTCGCACGGATCATCCTTTTAATCCCTGGGATTCAGCCCTCCTGCCGGAGCCAGCCTATTGCTTTTTTGACCGCAGAGAACACTAATGTTTTAACAAATTATTTCAGAGGTACTACCCAACTGCGGTAATAAGGTTTGCCGCGCTAAGAAAAAAACGCCGTATGAACATTCGTGAGTTGCCAAATTTCCTCGGATAAAACATGCATTTCTAGAGAAAGTTTTTTATATTTTTCTTCGCAATTTTCAGATACTTTAGATGAAATTGCAAACAAAGTGATCTGAAAACTTTGAGGGAGAAAATTAAAAATTTTCCCGGTAATTTCGTTTTTTATCAAAGGAAATCTAGCAACGTCTTACGGCACATACGGCGTTCTCGCTTAGCATGACTGTCCTACACCAAAACACGTCAGCATTTTTTTTTTTTTTTTTTTTTTTAAGGGAAGTTCAACGGAGGCATCCCATGGATCGGGCGCCATTTCAGTCTTTGCATGACCCGGGAAGGAAGCAACGATCTTTTTTTTTTTCATTTGGCCCAACTTCTCATATCATTGGGGATGGCAATCGCGCATCCTAGGAAACGACATATGAAAAGAACGACTATGAATACGAACCTTAATTGGACGTATTTCTGCCAAACCGAACTATTTGCATTGAGGCATAAGACCTGCGACCCATACACATGTATGCATAGCAGGGCTCACGTCATAATTGGACTTCATTTTGCAAATAGGAACTACAATATCTGTCTCATCCCAGTAGGGTAAGTTACGAATACGTTGTTTCTTTTGCGAGCCGGCATCAGTACAATTTTGCAAAATGCGGTTCAATTGTTCCAGCTTTCGTTTTTTTCTTTTTCTTTTTTTTCTCTCTCCTATTAACTATTCGATGTCCTCTTGCTGTGATAAAATTGAGAATGATGGCTATCGAGAGGAAGAAGGGGGCACTTTTTGCATGGCTCGAAAGAATGAGCTCCCGTGGATGTGCCACCCCTCCCAATTACAGGTTTCCAAGCGAGGCGCACAGCGGTGCGAGTTTTTGGGAGAGATCGGACACAATGTGGAAAATTTTAACAGCTTATATCTTCGGGAATATAAAACACAGAAATCAGAAACTGATTCCAATCATTTTTCGTAAAAATGTCCCGTATGACAAATTCCATAAATTTTAAATTATGACGAAATAAACAGTAAAACATTAAAAAAAAAACTTCGCGTCCAACCTTATACAATGATACGTTTTACTGTGCGGCGGGAACGGGAGGCACTCAGGAGGAATCGGATTGGCCGCGGTGATTAAACTCGACCAGGGCTGGCATTATCAAAAATTGCCGGCCTCGGCTATGGGTCTCATTGGCGGCTAATAACAGGTTATGAGCGACTTGGCGCGCGGTGACAGGAGACCTGACCACGACCGCGACGAGGCGACGTCCACCGTCCACCATCCACCGCTCACCGCTCACCGGTAGCCACCGGTAGTCGGTGGTCACTCGACCCCGGTGCATCCGAGGCGGCCATTTTCGAGTCGGTTTCGGCACCGTATAATTAGATTTAATCAGCGCTTCTCGGATATCATTCTCGAGCCCTTGCTCCTGTCTGGAAGCTGCGCGCTTTTGTCATAATTATGGTGACTCCGCGCCGAGGGAAGGCGAGGACATGTTCAGCCGCATTTTTCTGGCCGATGTGAGAGAATTCCAGTGTTTCAGCCAGATTTCATAGTTGCCGCCGTCGAGAAACTGGTTCGTCGCGAGTGGAGCTACCTTCGACATTTTCAAATCCACTGCTCCCAAACGCCTGCAATGCAGGCTTAATGTTAGTGGGAGCCCTTCTAATTAGGGTATTCTATTCATTTTTCTGGATGTGAGGGATACATCGTCGCTTATCAGACGCACGGTGTGGATGGTCAATGGGAGAGGTCGGACAAAATTTGGAAACTTTACAAGCTTGTAACTCCATTTATACGAACATTGAGGTTTCGAAAATGGTTCCTCGTAAACATTTCTACTATAGGAACACCCATTATTATTTGAAATTTCGGAACACCATGACCGAGATATACATTTTTACTGTTTTACCGGCGACATGTGGAATGTGGATCCCATTCAGCAAAAAGGAGCCAGCGCAATGATGATATTTTCAAAATAGTGTAACTTCTTCTCGTTTTTAAAAAATACTTAATGTATGTATAGTATTAAAATTTACACACTTGTTTTTCTCCAAAATTAAAACTTTTTTGGTGGGAAGCAAAAACTATTTGCTGTCTTGGGAGATTCTTTAGATAGTTATGAAGAAGCAGCCTTTTTACAATGCTTCAATTGCGCCGGTTCCTTTTTGCTACATGTGATCCTTGTAGACTTCTACTGTTTGATTAAGTTCTTATTAACTTTTGAATTTTTTTACTCTTTACCCAAAATGTATAAATTCATGGTTTTAATTCGGATGATTTTCTGTGCCTGTACAGTGGGCTTCGGTGGCGAGCTGGTTTTTTCGGCCGGAGAACAATTTAAGTGTAGCGCCGTTGACGACAAGCGCCTCCTCTGGACCAGTCAACTCGGGCATCTCCGCCAACAGCAGATCAAGACTCTCCTCCAACGAATCTCACTTCCCCCTCGCTCCGGCCATTTGCACGGTAAGAAACAATCCTTTTCCCCTTCAATACCATCATTATTAGACACACTGTCCTCGGAATAAAAATCCAGGCTTCAAAGCTACCCTAAAGCCAAAAAATGTTAGAACTTAAAAAAAATTAGATAAAAAAATTCCGCAAGAAGGCCCGGATTTTTTCTATTTTTTTTTTTTTGTCATTTTTGTCTCAATTTGAGCGAAATTCAACTTTTTTAAATTTCGTCAATAATTGGAAGTACTGAAAAAGTACTGAATTTTTCTGTTGAGGCACTGAACTTCTTGGGAACATGCTGAAAAGGTACTGTAAAAGTACTGATTTTTGGTTAGCCTGTTTTAGTAGACACCCTGTATGTGCATGATAATTCAGAGCATTTCAACGTCACAAAGTTATTATGCTGGAAAATTGTATTTTTATTGTTGTGAAACCGTCGGGCATTTTTTACTGACAATTATTCACTGATTTTTTTTTTTTTTTTTTTTTTTTTTTTTTTTTTTTTTTTAGTTTTTTTTTTACCTCACGCAGAAATTAGCATCATTTTGGACAGAAATTTCACGGTCATATGAATCGGTTTTTTTCAAAAGGGAACAGGTCCATTCCTATGAGTCTTGGTTAGGAGGTCCTTTATGCAAGCCAAGAGGCTCGTGCAAAAACGGACTTGTTCCCTTTTGAAAATAACTGATTCAATACCTGTGCAAAATTGAATCGTTTTCGTCAATTTTGCAATCTTCGAATGCACTTACGTTCCTTCGTTTGAGAACGGTAAATTGGCAGTAGTCCTCAATTTTTGCGAGTAGTGAATTGCGATATATCGATTGTTGTGCCATTTAAACCTATGGTAAAGAATCGATGATTAAGGTGTTCGCTGCGAACACCCTGTTTATCGATCCTTTCCCATAGGTTTAAATGGCATAACAATCGATATATCGCAATTCACGCCACGCCACTGAACTTATCGTTGCCCCGCTTGACAATGGTGCGCAAGTATAAACCAAAATAATCACGCGAGTGAAGCTGCACCGAGACCCCAAGATGTTTTTATTATGACTGTTAATGAAGCACCCAAGAGTGGCGAAGGAACGTGAATGACAACGGAACCGGGCGAATGGGAACGCCTCGGGAAACGGACCGGACCGGACCGTGGTCGTCGTTTTACGACCGAGCATGCGCAGTGTGTGCGGAAAATATCTGAAATTTACGTCCGGGAATCATCATTAGCCCACGCTGAGTTTACATTCATCGTTGCCCAATGACTCGAGCTCGAACGTCCACACTAGAGTGGACTTGTCGTAATATGGAGCTTTTATAGGGTCCAAAAGGGCAGCATATCTTCATTTCAGAAGATCACTAGCAAAATTTCGCTACCAACCTCCACATTCAAATGTCAAAACCAAGATGGCCGATGATCACAGATGAGAGTGTAAGCTTTTAAAGTTCCCCCAACCTCTCCCATTAACTCGATCCACTATGACGGGTCGTTCATAGTATACTTGCAACAGTAAGTAATTTCGGACAGCTCGTGTTCCAAGGGTGGCTGCCCTTTTGGGGCCAAAGAGCTGAATGACCAAATTTCTCTGGTGAAATTTTCGAAAAGTCGTTATGTTTAAAAAAAATATCTACCACGGAATAAACAGTTTTTTTGTATCTCCTGAACAATTTGGTTTTCTGAACATGTGCCTTTTTTGTATTTAGTGATTTAGTTATAGTATTTTGCTTTACGTTTCACCTCGTAGGCACAATTATATCCGTCGCACATTGAAGATATAAAGAAATTACTTAATCATAATGGACGTATTTAAAACAAAAGGAATTATATCCACTCTGACATGAGCCCTGAGATTCATAAGAATACGTGCGATACAAGGCTCACGTCACAATGGATATAGTTCCTTTTGATTTAAATACGTCCATTTATACTCTCGTAATGATCATAGTCGGGCCTTACGCCCTATACCAACTCCCTGGTACCACTGAATTTACTTTTCATTTAAAATGAGAAGTTAAACTTCGGGCAAACGCTCCGTTCAAGGATGATGACAAGACGGATAACGTTTCTAAGTAATTAAACTCCTCGAAGAATGTTTAAAACGCACTCCGGACCATCTCCGTAGAAAACAGGAGGCACGCAAGAAAGTCGTATATCTGCACAACTTAGCAATCATGTCGCGCAGTGGACGTTGAATGCGAATGGTGAGTGAAATAAATATAAAAAAGAGGTAGGATTAATAATTGTAGTCATGACACCTGGGTAATTAAACAACGAGCCCATGCTTCGATTCCCTTGCCACCGATGCAGGGTTGCCGTTTTGAACTGGATTTTGATACTTTTAGAGAATGTCTGGCTGGATAAAGCCAACCATCGAAACAATCACTTTCGTGCAACTATTAATTACGTATTATTAACTAAATAAAATGGCCTTTACCATTTCATTTCAGACAAAATAACAGTACGCGCTGTGTTGTGCATGCCCGCTTGGTTACGTTTGGGACAAACAAGAACCAATTTTTAAGGTTGTAGAAATGGGTCACTAAACCATGAAAGAATTTTGACTTGCGAATACATTTGTGTGGTAAATTACGTGTACAATACGATGCGCACTTTTAAAACGCTTTTTCACTTAGAACCCGAGAAGCAGGCAGTATACTTGAGCATTCTTATGGTGAAAAATCTATCCGAAAACCATATTTTAAAGCCGAATGAGACTAAATGCAAAATATCGCATTTGATTAGTCAAATCGGACTGGAATTTTTGCGTTAAGTCTCGTTTGGCTTTGAGTTAAGGTTTTCGGGAGAGCTTTCTCACCAATAGACTGCTAAAGTATGCCTCTACACTGTTTTGTCACTTTTTTTACAAAGAGTGAAAAGCAAAACTAGTATTTTAGCAAAATTTGCTCGATACATTCATGTTTGCTCACTTCCTGCGGGCTGATAGTTGACATTTACAGACAAAGCTATAGACAAAGAAGACATTAGAGATACAGAGGGATCCTATTGGTGGAAGCGTGTGGTTGCAATGTACAAAGGACGTAGGTAACAGGCTAACTAATGGCAACCCATGAGAGACCCTATGGTTAGTCCATCATTTCCTCCCTTAGTCTATACACGGAGAAAAAAACTTCGTGCGTGGGGCCCGAAGTTTAGGTCATATGGATCCCTGAAGTTTTCGGATTGAGCATCTGAACACTTTAGGTCCAGCTGCTGAGGTTTGGATCACACATCTGAAACTTCAGTTCTTACATCTAAAGTACTTCGGTTTTCACATCCGAAAAACTTTGGTTCTCACATCCGAAAAACTTCGGTTCTCTCATTTGAAGTACTTCAGATGTAAGAACTGAAGTTTCAGATGTGTAATCCGAACCTCGAAAGCTAGACCTAAAGTGTTCAGATGCTCAATCCGAAAACTTCAGATATCCATATGACCTAAACTTCGGGTCCCACGCACGAGGTTTTTTTCTCCGTGTAGGATCGTTCCATACTATGTCTTCTTTGTCGATCGATTTGTCTATCGATTTCAACAATCAGCCCACCAGGAGGAAACACCTCAAATAGAAAACACGAGGTTTAGTGAGCCAGTTTACCGATTGGACTCAATTCCTTGAGCTCATTGAAATTAATGGAGAGGACCCGAGGTGCACTGAAAAAAATTCTCCGCGTTTTTACCAAGGTCCGTTGGTACCTTTACCATCTCACTTTTTTTACCAATTATTGGTAATTTAACCAAGACAGACTGGTAAGCTTACCTAAAAACCGATATTTTTACCTTTTTTTTACAGGTGAGAATACCACTTTTATTGGTAATCAATTCCTGGTAACTTTGCCATTTTATCTCGGTAATTCTACCACAGCCGGTAAGAAATATCGGCGTTTTTATCAATGTCCAGTAAAATTACCGAGAAAGTTCAATAATTTCACCGAGATTCTTGGCAAAATTACCAACTCCATAAATAGTAATTTTACCAAGAAAAACTGTGATCAAATAGAACCCTGAATTCTTGGTAATTTCACCCTTTTCTTAGTAAATACACCGAGATTTTTTCTTCAGCGTGTGCAACAGGGCAACGTGGCGCGCCCCATCGGGGTCCTCCCGCCCGTCGCACCGGTTTTGTCCCGGCGCAGACCGCGACCACGCTCCCCCGCTACCAGGAGTGTCACATTCAAGCGCGGACTCCCCGCCAACATATTGATGGGTATTTTTTTTCAAATTAAAAAAATCCCCTGTGGAACCCTTGTGGGAGGAACCGAGAGGCTGGCTCCGGTGCCGCCGGGACAAAGCGGTCCCCGGTGAAACAATGACAGAATCAATCATTGAACGCTCTCTCATTATAGCCGTCGCAGTGGAGATGGGCACCGGGTCGCCCGCTTCTCGCCGTCGGCACCGGGGGTCAGCGTCGCCGCCGTCATTCGTCCCCGACGTGACGTGCCGCGACCGTCGACGACGTCCCGCACGGTGGATCGAGTCAATACGAGAGCTCGGACGGAAATTGAATACTTTAAACGCTTATAACTCCGTTTATACAAAACTTTGGGGTTCTGAAAGTGGTTTTAATGGTTTCCTCGTATAATTTTCTGCTAGGAGCACCCATTGAACCTTAAAATAGGACGGACTGAACATCAAAATTTGCAGTTTTGGTCGAATATTTTATCAGGGTGTTTACAAGTCCGGAATTCCCGGAAAGTCCTGAAATAGTACTGATTTTTTAAGGGCGGTCCGGAAGTACTGAAAAAGTGCGGAAATTCCGCGAAAAGTTCCGGAATTTTTTTTTTATTTTTGTCGCAATTTCACATTTTTTAAATTTTTCTAAGCCGACATCGGTTGGTCCAGTGGTTAGCGCAACTGATCACAGACCTAGATGTCCCGGGTTCGAATCCCGGCCTCGGTGGCAAGATTTGATGGTCTCAGATCTTGTCACCGTGGAGTGGCATGGATGTTTCTCTTCGTTTCTTCCTTCGTTTCTTCCTTTGTACTTCTGTTTCTACTGTTGTTGTAATCTTCCCATCATTTAGC